GCGAATAAAGTACAAGTGTTTTATTTACAGCACTACTTACAATCTGTTGATGATAAAAGAAGAAGTGGTAATAATTCATTGAATTATTACCACTTGCACAGACAAAGATATGGCTTATTGCTTCACCTTAGACGGATCGCTTACTGCCTTTACATTAACATTAGACAGTTTAGCATCTTTTCTTGGTTCAAATAGCTCAATGAGTTTCTTTATCTTGTTGTCTTTTCTGACATCATTGGAAATCTTTAGACCATCCATAAGCCTCTTTTCTCTTGGGCCAATTATTATTTTAGCTGGTGTTTTTTTTGCATCATTTTGACCTACAGAAGACTTGTTAGCATCCTTAGTACTAGGTGATGGTGGTGCTGAAGGAGTCGGCTGATTTTTAGTATCCATGTGAACTAAAAGAGACTTATTAGCATCCATAGTACTAGGTGATGGTGGTGCTGAAGGAGTCGGCTGATTTTTAGTATCCATGTGAAGTATAAACCGACTAGCCCACCCAATTTGACTTGAAGACTCCTGAGAATCCGAAGTACGGGATAGATTGTTAAAGAACACAATCTTATCTTTTACAGGCGAAGGTTTTTTTTTGACTGGATTAACACTAATATTATGTTTTTCCATGAGGTCTTTCTGTACTGCCCCGAAGGTTTTAGATAAATTATCAGTGGCATTAAGGGTTGTATTCACTTCAGTGCTATTATTTGTGTCGAAAGATATACCACTATCATTGCTTTTTTGGGGACTATGAAAATGTTTGTCTTGAGGTGATTTAATTGGTGTGGATGACCAAATTTTAGCCTCTGGAAGTTTTGCTTTATTATCTGCTTGAGGTGCTGATGTTTTATTTGCTTTTGTAAAAGCAAATCCTGCCTTTTCTTTTTGTTCTGGAGTCAATGTTTTAAGTACTTTAGTGACTTGTAATTCATAAGTGTTTAATTTACTATCAGATGTTTTTTGACTTTTTGTATCTACAACTGCTTGAAATTTTTGTTGTGCAGCCAGAGCTTGAGATGTTTTTGGTGCATTTTTTGGTGATCCTGAAGAAATGATTTTTGCATCCATGTTTGGTTGCAATGCAAGATTTGCCTTATTTTCTTGCTTTAATACTAGTTTGGGTTGCTCAATGTTTTCTCCTCTCTTTCTAATTTGCTCGAACACTTTAGCCATATTGTTTTTATGCAAATTTTCTGTAGTCATATTTGTACCTCTCTAGATTTATTAACTGTTATAATGGTAACTTGAAAGATATTAATTTTGTCACAATAACATTGACAAGTCAGACGGCTTTTAACTGTTAAATTAGCATTGA